TGTTTGTGGAAGTTGGTTGGTTGTGGGAAAAGTAGTGCATGGTGGCATTTGGGTTGATGGCTTGAGGTATTGTCGAATTTTTGATGGGACTGTAAGTGGTGAAGCTTGTCAACGATTGCTTCTGTAAAGATTTTAAGCTTTGAAGATAAAGTATTGGAAATAGCAACTGTGATTGAGGATAAGATCTTCTGTTGGTTTGGAAAGTGTGACTGTTATGTATTGAAAATTTGAAATAATCTGAAGCCGAGTTAAATAATTTAAATTTTAATAGTTGAGTTGTACCCTGGATTTAGTGTCTAGAGATATGCCGATATTTTATTTAATTTACGCTATTTGCCAACAAGATTGATTCACACTGTTTTTGCTTTTGACACAAATACGGTTTAATATATATACAACAGTATAATTTACAATAGCACTATTATGATTAATTATTACAAACAAAGTTTCATAAACAAAATTTCACTAACTTACAAATAACCTAAACTCTTCTTCCTAGTTCAGAGTCTCCTTGATATCCAGCGAGTTAACTTGAAGGCGAGGTATGTACAATTGCCGAGAAGCTAGCTAGCTTTGTCAGACACTGAATTGTTGGACCATTGAAGTAAGATAATATTTTCATAAAACCACTAATCTCTGATGAGAATCCAGAAATATTTTTGGAAAGATATTAACGTTCGATGAGAATACACTGATGTTTGAAATTTATAATTGTTCCTGGTCAAATGTCGTATATTTTCCGGTTGATAAGGGTTAACAAATTCTCGGTTTATAGCGTACACGGTTATAACAGGTTCCTAGTAGACTTATCTATGCTCTCTCTTTGGCTTTTTTATATACGCGAGAAATGTTTTCTCGAAAGATCGGACAACACTACTTTATATTTAACCAGTTACGGAAATGGATATATTGTCGATTCTTGAGTTCACGAATATTCTACAACCTTGGAGAATAGGCGGGAGTTTCGCCATATGTAACTAAAACGGTCAGCTAGGCACGTTTTTACATAGAAACTCAATCCCAACAAACGTTGTCATTAAAATAAATATATAACCAATTCGTTACACGCAATACATATATGACATTATAAGTTACACATATTTTTAAATACAAATTTAACCTAAACAACATTCATATTAAAAATAAATACATAACAATAAATTCATTACAGTGATTATCTTCATGAACTGGGTAGTTTTGTATGTAACTTTGTGTTGGTCATTTGTTCGAGGGAATATTGGACTTTTTCAGGTGTAATGATAAGGTCGACACCTCGGAGAAAAACTGTGAAAATGTGAGTTATTCTTTTAGGGTTTGAGTAGGTAACATGTGGGAAGGAATTCCAGGGACTATATAGATGTGTTAAGTCAGAGTGGCTTGAGGATTAAAGAAAAATTCCTCCTCGTCGGAATATTCTCATCTCCGTGGGATTGATGGATACTCTAAGTTTATAATGGTCGATGAAGGCGCTGATTTGACACAGGGTAATCCATTAAGGATGACCAGCAAAGTCACAGAGGGAGATTCAGAAAGCCTAGAAAAGGACATAGTTGAAGACACGTTATACTATCTCGTAATGGGTCCCAGGTCCTTTACCTATGGTAGGGAAAATTCATGACTATTTCAATCATTACAAGTTATTAAATTATTCAGACTGCTAAGCAACTGCTTATCAAGTTTGTGAATCCTGAATGAACTGATGGTATATAGGGTAGCAGATCAACAGTTTGCTCTTTATTCTCTTAGCATTCTGACATTTGGACTTGAAGTACAACTTCCAGTGGATATGATGTATTGTCCAGAAATCAGAGATTGGGGAAGTTGTTGAGTCAGAAGATAGCAAGGGCACTGTGTCATAAAATTTTGGTCCAGTTGATAATAAATGATGGTGCTAAAATGATTTGGGGATGTAAATAAGCAAGTCACGTGACAAGCGCAGCCACTATAAAGTCGCAGTGGAACAGATGAACTACATTTTTGACATTGTCTGGTGTTTGGTAAGATTTGTTTGTTTTTTTGAATTTTGCGCAAAGCTACACGAGGGCTATCTGCGCTAGCCGTCCCTAATTTAGCAGTGTAAGAC